GAAAAGTTCACTGCTTCCTACCTGTTTCCTCGTCCCTTGGACGTTTCTTACTTAAAGAGGGTTTACTATGAGCTGTCTTCTGATGAGCTCGAAATGGCGCCAGATTATGAAATCGCTCTCCGCAGGTATTGCACTTGTACTCTCTAGCTGCAGCACGCTTTTCGTGGACTTGCTTCTCGTGGCGCAGTAGGTTTGATCTCCGATGGAATGTCTTGTCACACTTGGAACATTGGTGCTTCTTTTCCTTGAAATGGATCTGTTTATGCTGTTTTAAGTTATCTGGTCGTGTAAAGACTTTTTTACAAGTAGGACATTCATACTGAGGCATTTTAGCTGGAGACTTGTCTACATCATCCTATAGAATGAGAGTAAACCATATATTAACTACCTTGACGAGCGGGAGAAAATCAAGTACTTACACTTACCTCTGCCTGTCGTTTCCTGCCTGCTCCACTTTGTATTTGGTTTAAAGATGGCTCCCTCATTTCTTCAATAAACGATGAATCTTGAGTCTACAAGAAATACATAGTTTGTTAGGGAAAGATTAACTTTAATAAGTGCGTTAATAAGTAGAAAATTCAACTTACCCCTTCTGGAAAGCATAAGGCCATCATTCGATCCACCGCTTCAGAAATCTGATCGCTTGGTATCTCGTTGTGCCAGATGAAATTTTCAAACTCTTCCAAAGTGGTGAACTGGTTGAAAGCCATGACTACTCGCACTCAACTTACTCACAATGTGTGAATGATGCGCTTGGCAGTGAGCAGGCTTTTATGCCGTTCAAACAATAAAAATACGGCAACCAACCAGAATGCTTCGTCAAACGAGACAGCCAATGAGGGTCTTTCTAATTCCGGTCAACCAATCAAAACAACTATTACATCATAGTACCCCGGAATACATATGACATCATCTTCCGAAAATAACTAAAACCTGTCAAACCGGTTATACCAACCATGACATCATCCATCTAAAAATAGTACATGACCTTATCTTTATGAGATTCCTGCGCATTTTATTCACGAGATGAGGACAATAGCCTATGACGTCATCGGCGTTAATGTATTCCTGCTCACGCTTATGAGATTCCTGCTCAAAAAAGGGGATAATTCGGTGCGCCCTATACTACTTGCGTGATATTTGGCATAAATACTACTCGCGATATTTCAAAATTGTCTCAAATTTCACTCGCCTAAAGGCTCGCGAAATTACGTATAACAATTTCCAAATATCACTCGTGGTATTTATGCCAAATATCACTACAAATCATGCTATTACCTGTAAAAATTCTCAGTCAATATTCAGGACGATCAGTAGTGGGCGTTCAAAATCGCTCAGAGTTTCCTTTTTACAGCCAAATTTATAACTGAATATTCTTCGGAACGTTTTCTTTCTATTTGCGGTGAAAAAATATATCTGAAGGCCTTTTATAGTTCTGTAAGCTTATGGGTGCGTTCCTTTGGGATAAACTGGATCAGGATCAGTGATCCAAGATCTCTCGGATCATGGTAGATCAAATGAACCGACGAATCCTTGTCCAGAGTGGATTCATCGGTTCATTTGATCTACCATGATCTGAGTGACCTCCAATCACTGATTCTGATCCGGATCATACCAGAGGAACGCATCCATATATCAAACCTGATACTAGGTCAGATCATTTACTCAAATCTTACAAACGTGTATAAACTTGCCGTATAAACTGTGCTCGACTTCATGAAATTAGATATAACAAAAACAAACATCAAATAAAATAATTACTCAGGCTTACCATTCGAGATTCTTTTCCTGAAAGCTATCAAGGTAGGTCACAGTTGCTTGAGACTTTTAAACCCTCTTACGCAATAAGCAAGGCGAAGCCATCCTAAATCGGATTACCGAATTTTTACCAGCGACGCATTTCTCAACCAAAAACGCAATAAACAAACCAGCCATGAATAACAGAAGACTCTTGATAGGAGCTGTATTTAATTTTGTACATCCATTGGAAAAAGACAGTTAAAAACATCACAAGCTGACACAAAACTCTGTAAGCTTCAGCTGTCAAACTTTCAAGATGCTGCACAAATTTTCCGCATGAACTCACCTGTCAAATTTCGACCAATCAGAGCTTAAAAATTGGACGTCCAGCGTGACCAACGCATGACCATGATAAGAAAAGGTCTTCCCCGCCTGTATTTTCAAAAAAACTGGCTGAATTTTTGCGTCCGAGGTCAGTTTGAGATCAAAATCTTAACAGTGTGGGGCCATATTGACATAAACACAATATATTTCATATGAATCATTGGAAAAAATAAACTTGAGCCCGCGATCATTTGAAACTGGTAATTTGTCAGCGGATAACTTCAAAAAATACTCGACCTCGATGGGTCGACACTTGAGCCCGCGGTACGGTCAGGTGATACTGGTCAGCGGATACCCTGTTTTGACAGCTGTCAATTGATCAGAACATTGATGTGCAATTAGTTTTCTCTTGGGCTCCCAAACTAGCTAGAAAGTGTGAGAGTAAACATTGGTTTCCCTGTGGTGCGGACGGACGGTCGATCGCTCGGTCGGTGTACGGTCACGTGATTACCAAATTTTCTGGGATGGGTAGATTTACTTAGCTATGGGGCTAAAGCGAAGCGCCGCGCCTGGAGCTCCGCTAATAATAACCCTGCAATAATTGAACCTGTTTATAATTTTCATAAAGATTAACTCTCATTAATATATAGCCAGGCCTAAAAGCGAAGCTCTGGTTAATAATACTTTTAAACAAAAAAAGTTAAATCGTGCTATGCTAAACAGGGACTACAAGACTAACAGATCTAATTAGCAAAAAAACAAATTGCACGTGCAGCACACTTGTTCTTCTAATTAGCAAAAAACAAATTTGCACGCGTGCAACACGCTTTTTTGTCTTTCCCTTGCCGTTGTTTTACACGACTACAACGCTGTTTTGTACGGCCGTCGATAAAACCCGGAACACGGAACATTCCGGAACATTCCGGAACATCCCGGAACATGAAAAAATAGAAATAATTTTCATGAAAAAAAAATGTAATAAAATTATTTTTATAAAAATTAATAATAACGTAAAATAACCAAAAAAAAAAAAAAACGAAAAATAATGAAATAATCAAGAAAAAGAAACTGGTATCCTCTCTGAGTATGAGAAAACAATACTTTGTCGCAACAAATTAAAATTTGTTGGGAGAGTGAGGGTTCATGCAAATGACAGTAATTAGTGAAGGCTTGCTTCTAAATTCAAAATATTTTAAAATGGGTCGCGAGGAGGGTTTTTTTTAAGCTTTCCTCACACAGCTACCTCTTGTAATTGTTTGCCATGAGTTAATCATTTGGCGGTTATCCATTTACGGTTCTGCAATAGTCTGAAATGTCGGCGCAGTATTTCATGTCAAGCCAAGTCGGTAAGTAGCTCATTTCAAGCCAACATATAGTCTCCTTATATATAACCGACATTTGCTTACTTGAGGTGCTTTGCTTCACTTGAGGTTGACATGAATTACTTACAGACTAGGGGGCTCTGTGAACTTAAGAAGAGTATAGGGGCTCCTTTCTTTGGATTTTAGTGGACAATACTCACATTCGTAGTAGTTTCTATACTGTTTACGATCAGCATGATCTTTTCAGACGTCTCCTCGAGTCGCAAGAGGAGTTTGCGGGTAGACGGCTAAAATTCAGGCTAACTGATAACAGTTAGAAACTACCGCTGCGCTACCACTGCCACTGCAACTATTCACGACGAATGTGAATCTTTAATTTAATTATCAAAGTCCAAAGCGACGAGCCCCTAAGCTCTTCTTACGGTCGCAAAGCCGTAAATGGATAACCGTTAAACCGCATGGCAAACATTTACAAGAGGTGGCTGTGTGAGGAAAGCTTGAAAAACCCCTCCTCGCGACCCATTTTAATATATTTTGAATTCAGAAGCAAGCCTTCACTCATTACTGTCATTTGAATGGACTCTCACCCGCCCAAAAAATTCATTGCGGCAAAATATTGTTTTTTTTCATACGCGGAAATAATACCAGTTTCTTTTTCTTTCTTTCTTTCAGTTTGTTTCTATATTTTTCGTTTTTATGTTATGTTATGTTATTTATACTACTACATGAGAAATTTCTGCAATTTGATTGGCTTAGAGCAGTGGTATTTCAGCTTAATTTGAAATACCTACCGGTGATAATTACAAACCTTGTGTGGGTGGTAGTATAAGCAAATAATAGCATGATTTGTACGTGATATTTGGCATAAATACCACGTGTGATATTTTTTTCGCATAACAATTTTGAAATATCACTCGTGGCATTTATGCCAAATATCACTAAAAATCATGCTATTACCTATACTTACTTTGTTATTATAGATTTTTGCAAAAATTGTTTTCTATCTATTGTTCTTTTTATTATTTATTATTATTATTATTAGTATTATTATTCTATTAATTAATTATTTTTTCATAAAAAAATATTTTTTTTCATGTTCCGTGTTCCGGGTTTTATCGACGCCCATTTTTATGAAGGAATTGTCGTATGTGCTTAGCCAATAGTTTGTTTCCTGTGTTGTGTTCACGTTCGCTTTTATTTTTCACTGCCACTCATTTTCACCTTGCTGGCATTTCTCATTTTCTCACCCCCGCTTTGAACTCTCATGTTTTTCTTCCAACGAAATTCACTAGATGGAGCCCACAAATTCTGAATAAAACCTGAAGCAACAGGCAGGGAAGGTTAGTAAATTTAAAAATAATTAATGATACAAACTGTACCCTAAAACAATATATCACTTTAATTATTTATTAGCAAACACCATTACAACACTCACAGCTGTCCCGTTACTATTACTATCATTTCTCTGAGCTACCTTCTGAAATACCTGTTACCTTATATCAGATTAAGCGCCAGAACCACAACTGTACAAATTATTCAACATTTCTTCAAACACTCTAGCTAACCGTTTGCCATGCATAATGTTCTAATTAAGGTTACATTTCTTTCCTTTCAGATAAACAAGACCAAATAGTAGGTTACATTCGCAATGTATCGCCCATACAAGAGGGTAACTTCTTTGACTTCCAACTTCAATCAAAAGACAAATACATGCGAGAAGTTTGTTTTGCCCACGGAAAAAGGAAAAGTCAGTAGAAGGTAACCCTGTCAACTGTCTGTCAGAATAAAAAGATTCAAGGTAGACCAGAGAAGTAATACTGAAGATTTGCTGATGAGCAGTAACTTTTAACTCCAACGACTTCAAGAAGCACCATTTCCTAAAGTAGAAATCCCAAGCACCTTCAACCTAGGAATGCTGAAAACCGTTGCTCCTGGTCAATAACAGTTAAAACAAAGAATACTACTCTGCGAACACCTGCATTACTGCAGACAGGCAGTGGTCCCTTGAACCTAAGATAATATTCTGGGAGGACTTTTGTAAACAGTAGAAGAAGGAAAGACAGACATTTTGAAAATGTAAGAGTCAAGAAAGATAACTTTACTAAGCAACGTAACATATATAAATGCTGCCAAAACTGGTACTGGCATAAGGACAACAGAACCACATACTGAAGTTTTAGCTTTAGCTTCCAGATTAACTGATGATTACCCGACTACAACTGTGACAGGATCTGTAGCAGAGTTACTGCCACATCCATTTCGGTCGCTTGCGTCAAGTGTAATAGGAAGATTGACATTGAGGACAAGTCAGACAAAATAACTTGTAATAATTGTAATGTGCAGCAGATGAAAGAGTTCTGTCCTGCTCAGTTTTATTTAAAAAAAAGGTTTAAAGGCTTGTTTATAGTGGAAAGTGCACTTAGCTTATCCAGCTGGTTTACAGGCACTCCACTTAAATACTGGCTTAGAAACAAATGCTTTAAACATAACGTAACAGGATTAAAAACCTCAACTGGCAGGAGGGTACCAGATGGCTATTTACAAGCGTGGCCGAGGATTTGAACTCGGGACGACAGAGAACAAATCCAGCAAGGGGCTGAGCGGGACTCGAACCTGGGATCGCGGAATTACGAGTCAAACACGCTGACCAATCGGGCACGCTGCCTCCTTTAGTATTATGCTCAAGTATTTTTCCTCACCAAACCAAAAGGCAAAGCTCTCCCTTACACTCTTTCACAAAGTAATCACACAGCTGTTTTCCTCAAAAGCTATGACGGATGTCACCAAAGTTGAGTTAGTTAAGCTATTAGTATAGGTAATAGCATGATTTGTAGTGATATTTGGCATAAATACCACGAGTGATATTTCGAAATTGTTGTACGTAATTTCACGAGCCTTTAGGCGAGTGAAATTTGAGACAATTTTGAAATATCACGAGTGGTATTCATGCCAAATATCACTACAAATCATGCTATTATTTGTTTATACCACTACCCGCAAAAGGTTTGTAATTTTCAGATGTAGGTATTTTAAATTAAGCTGAAATACCACTGCTCTAAGCCAATCAAATTTCAGAAATTTCTCATGTAGTGGTATAACTGAGCTTAAAAGACATATTGGTGACATATAACAAGAAAAACCAAGTAGTCACCAAAATTACCCAACCCAACATTTAGTTTACTTCTTACTTTAAGCCCATGTTGAGTTTTCAACCATGATACTATTAATGATACTGAGATTCGATTTATGAAGCTCTTACACGGTATGAAAGACGAAGCTCTCAGTTACAGTAACAACATCAAACTGCTTACCACAAAGCTTGATCAGCGCATTCTTTATATCTCCAACAAGAACGCGCTTACAGCGGCCTCCAAGTCTCGCCTGCTTGGAGATTAGATCGAGAAATGAGGAGGCGATTTATTCTACAAGAAACATGATTTACTCGCTAAAGGTGTTTTACTTCCTACTTTATCGACATCGATACTTTTTATTTGTTTCTGAATAGACCTTGTCACGGTTTTCAACGCCATCTTGACGAGTAGGCAAAACGCGTGAGAAATTACAGTGTTTGTATGAGAATCCAATGTCGAATAATTTCCGTAAAACGACTGTTTTGAAAAAAATATGAATTATAAACTAAAGCTTCACTCTTAAGGATTCTACTGAAATCATTTGAGGCCGTTACATGCGCTAGAAGACCTAGAACCTTTTTTTTAAAATTTTCTATACATTTTTCTGTAAAAAATTCCCGGGAAAAATAGCCTGCAGTGCTGGCGTTTTCTTTGAGCGCTCAATTTGCTCGCGAAAGCGCCATGTTAAAGATGGCGGTTATACAGCAATATTACGAACACGAACAAGGTTTCGCCCACCCAAAATACGCCTGCAATGCAGGCTATTCCCTACCCTATTTCAGACCTGATCAAATATTTGATACCCTACTTCAGACTTGAAGCCCTGGAGCCCGCCGCGTGAGCCACGCTAAAGAGCATGTTTTTTTTTTGCCGTTTTGGTCTGAAATAGGGCATCAATTTCGACCATTTTGGTCTGAAATAGGGTATGGTTTGTGCACTCTAGTCTTGAATTGGGCATGTTTTTTAGAAGAATTAGCTGCTTCTTCATCATTTGGCGATAAGACCATTTCCCTTTAATGTTTACGCCAACTACCGCTAGTCTTGCTGCTTACGCAAGAGAGACTAACAAGTGTAAGTCAGTAACTTTAATAAAAAAAATTACACGTTCAACTGTTCTACATACCGCCTTTGGCCTATTCGCATCGCACCTAACGGCAGCACTTCCCGTCTCAATGAGAACGTCTAGTAATATACATAGAGGTATTTTTAAAGCGAAAGTATAACTGGTCACTATAATGACTATAATCTCTGTTCCTGTCTACAAGAATCCTATAATATGAGGACGATAGAGGACTTCTGTTGACAAAAGATACTCTATCTCTTTTCAGGGGGTATATATTAATAGTTCATTGATGTCGCTCAAGCGAACTAATCGGGCAACAAATAAACCACATGCCCTCCAAAACCATTTTATTCCCCTACTTACTTGCTAAAAAGATTTTCCTATCGCCGTCGGAAGTGAAAACATTTGACTGACCAAAAAGACACAACCCAAAGACACCAACCAATCATAACTCGAAACGAAAACTATGCAACCACACACTGGGAATGCTTGGGACCAAAAAATCCGCGTCAACGGCGCGAAAACAAGCAACTCGCGCCACATGTGGAAAGAAATTCCTTCTACTTGCTTCAAAACACGATGCACGATGTTCCCTTTCTCGGACGAGAGCAACAAACAACGCGACGGTTTATCAGAAAATCCACTTCTAAGTTACGAAACTTTTGCATTATTTTGTAATTATTAGTTATAGAAAAGTGTCACGGTTTCTTTCATTTTCATGGGTACACGTTGAAGTCTTTTACGTCTGGATTTGCAAGTGCAGTGAACTGCGAAGAAAAAACAACGAAAACAATGCTTATCATCAAGTCGCTAGATAACAAGCAATTCTTCGGTATAATATGTTGTAATTTGTGGGATGTTGAAAAAATCCTGATAATCAAATTACTTCTTCAACGGTAAAATTATAGAAGGACCAGCAAAATGCTAGAAAGCCATAACACAACAGTGCTGTAAACGAGATCGATCCCACACGAATCCGTTTTCAGGGTGGATTTATTTGCAGCATACCCATAACTGTCGCATTTGCCTGGAAAAACTTTCTTTTTTAGCTTAAAACGCAAAAAACCTTGAACGGACAAGTGAAACGGCTATACGCGTACGCGGCAAATGAATTCACCAAACTTTTTTAAACGAATAAGCCATTTCCGAGTTCGCCCGGGCCTTTGTATCAAAACGAGGTTAAGTGCTCAGCCTTTAATATGGAGATGATTTTTCATTCTCATGGAAATAAAACTCATTTTCACAAGAAAGGTTGTGCATTTGGCATCATTTTAAAAGTGAGGGTTTTTGGAACTCGGAAGTGGCCTATTGGCCTTTTCGAATTTGCGCACGTGGGACTGTATCGGCGAGACTATTGCTGTCAAATTGCACTAAGGGAATGTTTTAGGGACGCCAGCGCTTCTTTCATCGACTATAACAAAGTTGACCTGGAAAGAGCAAGAGACTGGTTCCAAATTGGCTCGCCATAAACAACTCCATAGTGCAATAGTTCAAATAACAGCAACCAGTCTCCAGTCTCCATCAGCGCAACCTTAACAAAGGCCTAAAGAAACCGGTTGTGAAACCAGTGGTGGGTGTCAACGGCTTCTGTTTGCCTGCGAGCAAACTCTCCGGGGCGCTCTGGCAAACTGAGGAAGGAGAACTTGCAACTGCGTCTCTGAAATTCGAATTCCACCTCCAATTCCCCTGTGGCTCCCTGTCGACTGAGCTGTCAGATTTCCGCCAATCAGCGCGAAGCGGAAACGAACGGGAAGGTAAACAAACATTGAAAAACACGTGCCAAGGGTAGTGACGGCATTACTAATATCACCTCCGCCAATCAGCATTTCACTTCGACTTTTTCGATGCAGATACCCAAATTCCAGAGACGTAGTTGCAAGCTCTCCTTCCTTTTTCCACCGCGGCGCCAGAGCGCCCTGGAGAGCTTGCTCGCAGGCTAGGCTTCTGTAAAAGTAAATGGTCCCCAGAGAAAATAAATTCGTAATCGAAAAAAAAAAACATTCTCGTTAGGCCAGCCAAAAGTTTGTATATACAAATCACATGAACCGATCACACTTAGTGCTTGAAAAATATGAAGGAGACAAATTACATGATTGTATTAAGTAATTCGATCTTTTCCTTTATGGGGTGGACCAAGGGGAACGCGGTGGTGAGAGCAAAGAGCGATTTCACTCACGTGGCCAGCATCTATTTCTTTAACAAAAGAAATGGACTGTCATGGTACAGAAACATGGCCGCCGTTGCATTGTTTTAAACACTAAAATGGCCGCCAGGACGTGATGTGAAAACGCCCTATACGCCTCCCACCTCCAGTTCACTTTCTTGGCGGTTAAAGCAAAAAATAAACTTTCTTACCTGCTTAGTAAACTCATCAACACAAGCCATCCTGATGCGCTCACTAGTAGCTGGACTGTCCAGTCTAAACACCCCTTCAACACCTGACTCGCGCCTAAAATAAGGACAGGTAAAACAACTATTTTAATTTCAAACTGCAACCGGCTGCACACGCTAAGGTACAAAATTTAACATGAATTCACAACGTAAATACTAAATAAAAGTAAATACATGCGGAATAATTACATAAATAAGTGCACAACAAACTGTAAATCAATAAATATGAAATAAAGTAGAAAAAAGGAACGAAAGAAAGAAAAACTGGAAGGAAGAAAGGAAGAACGAACAAAAGGATGAGCAAAATTGGTGGCTAGAAAAGAAAACAGAGTTTTCGTCCTATGATATCTGTAATTACTCTCCATTATAATAAGATAAAATTTACAAAATACAGGATTCAAAATACGAAAAACATGGAAAAAACGTGACAGGTTTTCCAACGTAAGTAAAGGACGTTGCAAACCATGAAATAAGGGAATTTCTTTCAGGTTAGATAAGAGAGAGTTTCAGTTTTAGGGCTTAATCTAATAAAGAAAAATTCTAACCTGGCGAACATGATGGCATCTTTAATAGCGTAAAATACTGAAGAGGCTAGGAACAAGGGAGGCTCGCCGACGGCCTGAAAGTAAAGTATGACTGTTATCAGAAGATATTACATTTAATTTATTTTTCCGCGGTCTTTTTTCGCCTCCAGAAGATTTCTTTTATGCGATAGAACTCTATAAAATGCTAGCGTAGAAGAAGAAACTAATCGGAGCGAGGATGTAGCACTAACTCTATGATTTTGTTACCTATGCGTCCTACGTCCCTGACGCATAAAAATCCCGAAAGACGCACAAAAGTTCATGGCACGCGTCCAGTATGACGCAAAGATCGATCGATTGATCGATCGATCTGAAGATGTTTTTGTAGAATATCTTGTTCGTGTGATTTCTGTGGTTGTTGTTTAACAACGCATAGTCTTCATTGTGCTTTACAAAAGAATATCTTTTGTCTGTCTGTTCACATAAAGGCCCAAGCATTTACAATTTAGGACTTACTGTCTTTTGAACTGGGACTGAATGGGTCTCGATTAGGACTCATGTTTTGTTCACATGATGACTCCCAGGACTCACCATAACTAATTGTAACAACATCACTGCTAACTAATCTACAGAATAGGGCCTCATCCACACCAATCCGAATATTTCACAATCCGCATATTTTTACCAGAATCAACCTTCCGTCCACAAGATACCAGTGAATATGCAGACCAAAACCGCATCTTTTTCAAACAGATCTCCTGGCTGGTTTATGGCCCCATTCACACGAATTGTCGGGATAAAAAATGTCCGGTTTTTTAAAATGTTCCTAGAGAAAAAAACTTCGCTTCAAATCTGGCTTAACCCTGCCATAAATTGATCTCTCGGGGAAACAGGCCTTGCTGACGAAGGATAATAATCCACACAGACTTAGGGCGATTAAAATGATACACAATGAAGAGGAAATGAAGCGTTTAAACATCTATGAAGATTCTTCGTACTTTTGAAGAAAAAACCGCTTTTTCGTTCGGTGCACTCCGCAATAGATGAACATAAAATTCCACTGGAATGTCCGCAAATCCGGGGATCTTGTAGGCTCCAGGCCCTGTGGTCCACGGCGTGCCAGTCTGAGAGTAGCGTATTTCTTCGATGGTAAATAAACCTAGTCCTTGGACAAAGCCACCTTCAACCTGGAAAAAATATTAAAACTGAAAACAAAAAAACAAATGGGGTTGAAAATCAGCGACAAAATCATTGAGACACTTTTGTGACATGCTTATGCGGTATCTATCGGAGAACCAAACAATCAAAACCCCTCCTCATTCCCCACCCCACCCCACCCCAAATGAAACATTACTTGGGGTAGTGGTGAAGGGAAAGCTCGCTTTTTCTCTTGACGTAGGCAGGTACCTTAAAAACGTGGAGAACGCCCGTAATAAAAACGTATGTCAACTGACCTATTTTCGCGGGGACCAAATCTACTAAAATGTCTGACCTGCCCAATGTCGATAGCTGGATTAAGACTGTTACCAACATCCATCACTATGTCTGTGCGGAGAACCTGTTGGACAAATATGAATACACAACAGTGATGCGCTTACCACTATACCTCGCTTGCTCAACCTCGTCCAATAATTGTTTTTATTATCATACAAAGAAGGACTGTATTTTAAAGAAAATGCTACACGACACGTACATGCAAGTGACTCAGGGACTGAAGAGTTACGGCATCATTTGAGGTTCTGTGTAACTGATCACCTATCCCTTCCCTAAGTCACAATTTTGCCCTAACTGAGAAGTAAGTGTTAATGTTGACTTAGGAGAGGGGTAGGTGGTCATTTTCCCTGAAACCTCAATGGCCCTTATGCATGATTACGCCATACGAGCAAATTTCAATACCAAGCCTCGTTTCAAATGAAGGCTTGGGGGTGAAATTTACCAAACCCGATTCATTCTACAACGTTTGACAATCTTGTGTTACATAGCAGTCAAGAAATAATGTAGCCGATGTTTTCGATCAAGCATATTTCACAAAGCTTGGCAATTAAAAGTGACGTAGCATTCTCAACACGGCGCGACAGTATTGTCCTTACCTGGTGATCTCCTGTGAGGCAGTCGATTTCCACTTCTGAGCAGGCAGCTCCAAAACAGAAGTAGTTAAAAACCCTGCCTGTGTTGGTCTTCCAGTCATATCCCAGATCCGGCGTTCTGTGTGATAGCAAGCAAACAAAGCTGCGTTAAACTAAAATTGCAGCAAAAAAGCGTTACCATTATACCTTTTAACAAGACGCGAGCTGGGATTTCTCTACTACAATCAGTAACACAAATCATTACAGGCTAGCCATATTCATTTCAGTCAAAACAGAGACAACGCGCAGGCGCCACAAAAATAGACGGCTAGGAACCATGTGTAGCGAACAGGAACGATAATTGCTGTCGAGGCTAATATTTGTATGTCAAAAGATTACGCTACACAACCCTCGATCCAACGTTAGTTCCAGAATTTTTCGCACAATACAAATATTTTAATAGTTACTCTATCCTCTACCCCTGTACAGAGCCATACACGTAAAACCCTAAGATATTTAGCTCTGTATTCAGGAATCCCTTCACTTCAGAGTTTCTTCACTACGGTCAGTATTTTTGGGAATTGTCCTCGGACCTCTCTTCCTTCCGATTTTGAATCAACTGTCTGTGAGTCTGCGTCAATTGACATTTGTTGCGCACACAATTAACAATTACAAAATAATAAACGTAACACTGATACTTTCTTACTTGTAAAATCCATTAGCAGAAAGATTGACACTATCAAAGTAGGCCGAGCGAACCTAGTAAACAGAGAAAGAAACTGTCAATAATAGATCACCACAAAGACGCGAGAAAACTGGCTAATTAAACAATAAAACACGAACAAATCACCGACTTATCGACAAACAGGATGACCAACTGGTTGACAAACTGGGAGCAAATTAAAGGCTTGACTAACAGACCCCTTTACCAACGGAGCTACTGGTCCTACTGACCCACCGGCAATGGTCGATAGAATGGGTTGTCTCCATAAACTTACCCAGTCTTCCCAAGATCCCCTAGGATTCTCCATTTGATAGGGTTTTAACCTCCCTAGTATCTGCTCACATGCAATCTGCAAAACCACATCATACAGTATTCAAGTGGTGCCCAGGTTAGTATTGCCCCAATTAAATCACAAAATTTAAGAGCAAATGTTCAAACGTCTGCACTTATTTATACAAGATGCGGGCATGTACATAAGTGTCTAGTCTAGGTTCATGATAAATACTTGTTCCAAAGGAAGAAGCCATTCAAAGGGGCGCGCAGAACGAAAAAAAAAAAGTTTTAACAGCTGATAAGCGAGAAGAAGGGCTTGGTCTTGGCTCATGTCCTCGCTCAACAATTTTAAAGAAAAGTAAGGCTGAGTCATACTTGCAACAAGCAATGTGTCATAAAACGTTTTTTTGCCCCCCGCAGGAATTTCGCCCAGAAGGCGAAATCCCGAGGGGGCACCCTAGTAACTCGCGCGTATATTAAGGAAAGTACTTACAGTTGAAATATACAGTCATACAGTCAATATAGAAATAATCTCGATTTGCTTGAACCGGGGCCGCGAGGAATCGGTAGGTAATGATGACGTTTCTATTGTTTGCGCCCGCAAGTACGAAATGGTTAGGATGATGCAAAGACAGAACATCCCCAAGGGACCGCTTAGGTAGATTTTGTGACATTTATTGTGAAGTCATACTTCGGCACTCTTTTGCGTTGCGACACTCGTTAAGCCCAGAAGAAGTTATAAGGTGCGTACTAGAAATACGTAAATCGCAAGACCTCGCGAAGGGACTTCGGGGGAACGGCAAGTAAAGCCGAGAAGAAAATTTGTAAATCCAAAAATTGTAAGCTACATATAGAAACATAACAAAACTGTTATACCTAAAATGAAAACTAAAAGAAAAGAAAAAGAAAAGAACAAGAGAAGAAAAGAAAAGAAGCGAAGAGAAAAAAATTCTGCCCAGAATCGAACTCAGGACCTTAAACGCACCGGGCCAAAGCTTTACCACTACGCCACGTGGAACACACAGAAAGCTTTGTTGAAATTTTATTACTAAAACCTTCCAGCCTTATTAAACGTGAATTCAAAGATATTTTTCAGAAGAGTGACTGCAGTTTCGACAGTGAAAACCCAACGTAAATGCATTTCATCGCATTTACATGTAAAGAATGGAAGGCCAACAATCTAGGTCGATACCGTATAAACTCTTCTGCCAGCAAAACGTGTTTTGCTGGAAGACGTTTTTGGAGAACTGACAATTTGACCAACAATAGACGACTGTTTAACTGTGATTACAGACGGATCGAAACGCACCAGTTACTGATTACGAGTCTCCATAGCCAATAACATCACGGCTTAACTGACAGACGACCAATAACATCGCGACGTAATTGACCAATCAGATCAATAACCAGAGTATAATACCATTAACTGACGTGATACAACTCACTTTGACTCTGAAGATGACTACCGCACAGGTTGTCGAAACGTCAGTCACTGTCAACAACAACAGTCCTATTCAGGACTACGTTGACCCGGACGATCAAACTCAACCTACTTTTAAAACGTGTTTTGTTACCGCGATGTTCGCTCATATGTTAAGGCTAATTATCCAAAATCGCTTCCATTTGCCCCTGCGAGGATTGACAATTCGGCGCTCTTGTGTTTGCTGTTCTGTTTGCATGAGAAATGGCTTGAGATTCACCGATAGTAAACATTGTTTTGCAGACGATGAAAAGACAGCTCTTCGTGAATACTTTGGTCATAATCGCTTTCAGTCGAATGTTGCCTAGAAACAAAAATGCGCCGTGACTTCAAACTACTGTATGACGTCATGGCGGACACCATCGGATATATAGAAGTTAAGATGAGAGCTGCGAGTTTGCAGCTCGCTAGGACCCACACTCGGTTCACGCACTGCGCGCGCGCTTCGCGCGCGACGAGATTATAAACTCACTTTGCTCGGCGCTTCGCGAGGAATAACTGTGTATATATAAACAATTGGAAACCTTGCCAGACACTCTTTCTCTCTCTTTGACCGGAATAAGACTCGGCCCCAAACAAGCAAGACGAGTGAACAAAGGATAGCTTCACAACAGACTAGAATGCGCGAGTGTGAATTGATCAAAAGTCCTCTTAACTTATAAGGCTTCCTTTCCGGCGAATAAAATGAACTGAATGTAAATAGCCTGCGAAAACATCCGTTTCTCCTCGCTCTAGAAACGGATGTTTTCGCAGGCTAGAATGCAAAAAGTGAAGGAGAAATAGCGAAAAATTCAACTTCAAATTAAATCTTTTCTTATGGTTTAGAATAAACTATTCTTGAAACTGAGAATGTTTTGATCAAAGCTGTGTAATCGACCTGAAACTGTGCATGGAACCTTGCGTTTCCTGTATTTATCTCACCTGTTGTATGGAATATGTGAGAAAATCTTCCTTATGAATCGGTACATTTCAAAGAGCTACACAACGAGCAAGAATGCTGTTGACCGACAATATACAGAGCGGGGGCAGCTGTAGTGTCAACTACTACTAGTTTAAAAAAAATATACTGTAGAATAACTTACACTTGACAATCATTGAAAACAACTTACATTGCATTACGAAGACCATCGTTCAGAAGGAAGCTGAAAGAAATATAAACAAATAGAACATAGGTTAGCTGACCTTGACCGCCATGCCATTGAGATCTGAGGATGCAGAAGCACCAGTGGGTGACGTATTGGCCACTGTGTTGGTGCTGGTTTCTGTGATGTGGATCTTGGACACTGGAATGCCAAAACAACGAGAAGCTACCTACAAAAGGAAAAGGATCAACCTAATAATTAGACTAACGAAAATAAACTAAGGGCGGGAAAATTCAATTAAGAGCCAACGAGTTGACCACTTTCAAGAAAAAAAAAAGACATGTGACCAGTGTCAAACGCGGGAAATTATGTAAACAGCACGCCCAGCTACAAGACTACGCATTTTTCTCAGGATTTAGAAAAAACTATAGGATTCTTAGAGCTCTGTTGGAATTTAAGAGTTTTGGTGAATAGTTTAAAGTTTCCCTGTTTACTTAATTTCAAAAAGTATGAAATTTGTTCGTCACAAGCGATTGTAAAGCCTTTGTTTAAGATTTTTTGATGCAGTACACAGTAACGGTCAGTGGTTTTACCCATGACCTAGCATTTCTTGCATCTCTTTAGTTTCCATTTTTTCACTTACCTGCACCATTTTAGTGTGTAGTCCTTGGCCCATTTCTGTTCCTCCGTGAGTTACAAGTACTGATCCGTCTGTATAAACATGAACTAAGGCACCAGCCTAGAAAAACAATAAACAAATAAACAAATAAAAATAAATTAATTAATATTCATATTCGACAAGATTCCATATACAAAAATTTCACCGAACAAGGCTGCTTAACAGCCCGTATAGCTCGCTTCGGGAAAAAGTGAAAGCCTTGGACCCAAACTACGCGCCCGCGCATTTGTGGGATTATTTGGGGGGACGCGAATGGCGCAAAGCGAATTGGAATGTTTCAGCGGGGTTAAAAAAGCTCAAAATAGCAAAGCGGAAAGTGGAATTGAAAGAGAAAAAGAAGCTGAAGGAAGATGTGCCTGGGGCGATTTTACCTCGAGAAAAACTGGAAGAATGCACCGTGAAACAGCTTCAGAGATGGCTTCTTTGCCGTGGAGCCAAAACAACCGTACAGAAAAAAAACGTTATGTCTTTGGTATTCTATAAAATGCCAGACCAGGGGAGTTCTTGAAATTAATTGTGCACAAAGGCACACAACAACTTGCATGTCTCGTCATACAGTTAACTCCCGATAACTCGAACCCTCGCCAACTCGAACCTCGCGCTAACTCGAACCAAAATCTATTTCCCCTGGATGTCCGTCATACATTTACTGTAATTTTACCCCCGGTAACTCGAACCTCCCGCTAACTCAAAGTAGTTTTTGTTTCCCCTCAGATCACTTCTATATAATTTTACCCTCGATAACTCGAACGGCATGTTTTGAGCCCTTAAGAAGTCGGGGAAAAAGCAGTGTACTGGCGTCCGAAACATTGAATTTTGAATTTCCCGTTGACGTGTTGTAGGCATATAGTTTACTGGTGGAGGATTATGTTGTTTGTCACATATCTAACGTGAAACCTCAAAATGTTAAAACGCAAGCTCTATTTAGGAAATGTTTTGTTACGTTACGTTCTGATTTATAATCTAGAAGTATCTTTCAATTTTCGCTTAACATTGCTTCAATTAAATGTGATTAAAATGTTCACTGTGCAATAAAAACTGTTTTTTTCCTTTCTCCCAGCTATTTTCTTAGAGCTCCCGATAACTCGAACTCCCGATAGATCGAACTTTTTCGATTTCCCCTGAAGATTCGAGTTATCGGGAATGGAGTCGATTCAAGGTGGCTGCTCGACTTGCCCCCACAAACAACAATCCCATAAATGCGCGCGCGCGTAGTTTAGGTCCCAGGCTATTACTCTTTTCCGAAGTGAGCTATTGTTGCGTAGCTCAAGAAAGCTCGAGCGGTCAAACAAAAGTCCTGGAGCGAGAAGAAAACGGAGTGTGAGACGGGGGCTTGTGTGGCTTTAAACATTGATTTTGAGAAGAAAAAGACACGACTGTTTTGCAGCCTACCACTGAATAGAAGGTCTGGTAACTATATCGTGCTGTCTGGGCGCTAATTATAGTCACTGATGGCATTCCTGAGCATTTAATCAAAAGATTCTCAAAAGTACGCGACTGAGAAACCCTTGGTTAAATAATAAAAGCAATCTTTGATAGAACGTCCATTTAACTATAAAATTTAGTCTTTAACGCTACAAACTTTCTTAGTGTGTCGAGCAAGTGCGGTGAAGCGAAAAAAATTTCGCGTAACACAAGGAGGTTTTAAGGGTACGAATCAGTATCAATTTTGCAAGAGAAATTGCTTTAATCCTTGTGACTACAAAGGCATTCTGCGAGGTGTAAAGCGTCTCCCTACCTGATTCAAAAATGTAGCACTAAATGCAATACCAAACTTGGTAGGTGTCAGTGCGATACCTCTCTTCTTCCAACGGTTTTCCCTTGAGACAAGACACAAGCTAACGTAAGCTTCATTACCCACAGAACTAACTGCAGTTCAACCTCCATTAAGCGGCCACACTCGGGGTGCCGGCAAGTGGCCGCTTAATGGAGGTTGGCCGCTCAATAGGGAGTCGTCATAAATGAGCATAATCGTTAGCAGAAACATCGCATTATTTTGAAACAAAGGCGCGACGGTAATACCCAGCGAGCAGAGGTTTCTCTCTTGCATGGCTTTAAGCGTTTACGAAGTCGCGTGGCTTGTCTGCCTCGTTCCTCACGGGGCGTAAACAAATAAACTACGCAACAGACAAGCCACTCGAACGACTTCGTAAACGCTAAAAGCCTTGCAAGAGAGAAACCTCTGCTCGCAGGGTACGACGGTACCATCACCTAATGAACCACAATTGGTTGTCACCGTCTATCTCGGACTGTATTTTCCTTTATCATATTCCGGATTAAAATAAAGCCAAACTAAGAGTATCCAGCTCTTGATGGCCGCTTAATAAAGGTGAGAACAATAGAACTCTCGTTGGAACCTCCAAAGGATGGCCGCAGCCGCTTAACAGAGGGTGGCCGCTTAGTAAAGGTTCAACTGTATTCATCGAAGTGTTGTCCAATGGTATTGGACTGATAACTGATTTGCTATGTTCCCATCGCTTAGTCTCTGTTGTAACAGGGACAAAGAGCCGGCATTAAGCAGAAGGAACCAACAGCTGGAGTACCGGCCATTTTGAGGATGTGCTTACAGGAGCTGTGTCATGGCTGTCTTGTCCATTTTGTTTATGCAGCCAATTACGCGTCCTTATTCGCGACAGAACTTGAGACATTACTAACTTGTGACAGACAAAATCATAGTTCTTCCAAATATTATTTCAAACGTTACAAACTTTGAATAATTGTAAGGCTAACCCGTTTTCAAAAACCACGTTTGCAAACCAGGGGCGGCGCCGGGAATTCAACGCTGGTAGGGCATAATTAAGTGGAGACACATTATAAGCGCGAAAGAGCTCTTAAGGAGTGCCGATGGGTAGACTTTCTAAGGGGATCTGTGGGATAGTCTAAGAAAATTTTGACAATTCAAGTACTCTTTGATGCAAACTGGTGCAACATGGAAGCTCAAATTTGTCAGACTAGTGTCGCTGTACGAACCTGTTAAAGGACTCAACGTGTCTCCTTCTTTCTTCGTAATGACTTTGCCCTATGAGTTCATCCCAGATTCGCTGAATATGGCAGCTGGTGAGTGCTTGATTAAAGTGCGTTAAGTCACCTTCTTGATAGAAGTTCAACTCTCTCACCTATAAATTAGTCCATAACAAGACATTTGCGCTCTGTCTCTCTTACAGTCCTCAAATAATTGTTGCCAAACTACATTGGAACACGGTTAATACGGACACTAAGGGGAGATGCCATAGTGTCCGTATTAAGCGAGATATTTTTAGAGAAAATACATGGGATTTTCAGTGTAGGGACAAACGAGACTGTCTATAATAAATATGTGTATCCGTATCAAGCAGGCGTCCTTAAAGCGGGTTCCACAATAATAGTCAACTCTCTCATTCCCAATGTGATTTAAATGATGTTCTAGCCTTCGACTCATTCGAAGAAAAGCAACTGAAATGTTGATTTGCGTGCAAACAAAAATAGTCACTGAGTGGTACGTTGCTGTGGTACTGTCAATTATGCTGTACAAAGTGGCAGAAACGTTTAAGTCTATGCATGAAATCATTAAGAGTGACCGTTTAGATGAAAGCTACTGAGCAGTACTTTCCTGTGGTATTGTTTGTTATTTGGCTCAGGGTGGGTTTATGCATGAATTCATCAAGAGACACCATTCGAATGAAAGCTGCTGAGCAGTACTTTCCTGAGGTATTGTTCGTTATGCTGTACAAAGTGGTCCTAACTCTGGAGTCTGTGGATGTTATCCTAAAGTGTGGCCATTCAAATGAAAGCTGCTGAGCAGTACTTTCCCGAGGTATTGCTCGTTATTCTGTACAAAGTGGTCCTAACTTTGGAGTCTGTGGATGTTATCCTTAAGTGTGACCATTCAATTACATACCACTGAGCTATACTTTCCTGTGGTACTATTTACTATGCTGCTCAAGGTGGTGATAGCTTTTGAGTCTGGGAATGAATCCCTGAAGAGTGATCACCGAAGTGTAAAACACTGATCAGTAGAGTGTTTTCACTCGCGTGTTCAGCATCTATGCAAATTTATCGGAACAAAAGGAAGCGTTTGCAAAAGAAAAGAGTTCAACTCCCAGAGGACTGGTATGGGACACCAACATGGCCACCGTTTCATTGTTTAGGGACACCAACATGGCCGACGTGACGTCATGTGAAAACACTCTGTACTTTCCATTCATTGGCTTAAGTTGAGTAAATGATGCAGAAAATCCCTTCAAAGTCTGGGATAAGGTAAAAAAAGATCCCTAGAATAAGACCATTCAATTTAAACGGTAATTGAGAAGCACGCCTTACTGTGAGTCTTCTGTAGTTCTGTTGTTACCTTGTTCACTGGCCGTTACACAAGTTTTATTCTCACTGAATTTTTCTCCCATAATTCATTGTGGTGTAAGAGGCCAGGGGTTACTGATCTTTCTTTGCAGGAGGTCTGAGAGGAAGGAGAAGGGGAGGGGGGGGGTACTTACCCGTCTCTGTGAAATGCCGCAGGTGATTGCAACGCCAGTTATCCACGATTCCGCGAACATCATACCCTTCGAACCAAAAGAACTGTGTTTTATTTTTGGTCAAGAAATGAAAAGTGACCATATACAATTACCACGATGTAAAAAACTTCTGTCCATAAGATAAGAGATTTCATACTTGCGGTCCACCAAAACCTCTGAATGCAGTGTTGGAGGGAAGATTCGTCTTGCACATGTAACCACGTACGCGGATATTTGGAATCAGGTAACAGTTTTCCGAATCGAAAACAGCTCTCTCCATCACCTGCAAGAAAATTGCAAAAATGGTGGTTACGCACGCCGTAGGAGCAAGTAATTTCCCGAGATATCTGTGTCTTCGCCTCGCATTCATCGTGCGGAAAGGACCTATCTCATGGTGAGTTCCTCATTTTTTAGTCAAGGCTGAGCTAAAATTATAACTAAGTATTTAGTCATCTTTCCGTAATTGTCACGCTTGGGACTCCAAAGGAAAGAAATCAAGTGATTCTATGAAAGGGAGAACAAAGTGTGGTAGACTTTATTCATTTTTTCGACAGCAAAGGAGTTAAGATTGAAATCGTTGGCCCAGTTTTTTCAAGTTGCAACCCGTTTCCATCCTGGCCATGCATCTAAAGCTAAAGACACAAACTCATAGTTAAGGCACAATGGCAGAGTAATTTTTAAAAAAACTGAACCACTTTTGCGTCGCGGGGTTCAGAACCTGGAGATGAACTTCTCAGTAAGTAGCTGTTATGGTCAGGGACCCGTTTGAGCCCTGCTTATTACTTCGGCGGAGCGCGAAGTAAAGGATTCGCGACGCTCAGGAAAGTATCGAAGTTGACACTTTTGGGAGAAGATTGGGCACGCAAAGTCTGTAGGTTTTCGGTTTTATTCGGCTTGATGAAGTGAGAGCCAAAAATATCTCAGAGACAATTTGCCCCGAAATGCTAGTTTTAGGTAAGTAGGCCTCTTGGATGTTGCTATTATCAGAATATCCTGACAAATCCCATAATTTCACAAATTAACACTTTACTCTTACCATATTTCATTTCTTACTATTCCTCCGCATTTATAATTAATCAGTTCCACAACCACGACGCCGACGTGTACGCTCTATAGCGTCTTGTTGTCACAGAAAATAGGGGGAATTCAGCAAAGGCGTTATCGAGAGACGCAAGCCAACCGAGATAAGAGTGTAGTTGCCCAAATTGTCAGGTAAAACGTCTATAAGAGGAGAGAAATTGGGCAGCGTCAAGGCATAGACGACGGGAAAACGGCCTCACTTCCGGTTGACGTGTGTCGCTCAAAAACGCCTTTGCTTCAACACACGACATATGACTCACAGCTCCGGACAGATCGAGAGAGTTTCCACTGTTGCTGTATAATGTTACATCCAATGCTCTGATCTTGCCATTAGCAGTAAAACCAACCTAAACAAACACAAAGAAGATAGAAAATGCGAAGACGTTGACAAAGACAGAAGAATACAAAATTTTGTGCGTAAAAAAACATTTCAATTTACAATTTTTCCGGCAAGTCCCGATGTATGCCGCGATTCAGTGAGCCAAAATTTTCGTTCGTAATTTTCGACGTTTTAGAGAGGCGAATAGTACAAGACTTCGGACCATTCTCATTTGCTTCTCCCTCATCAAAACGAATTTCGCACCCAGATTCGAAATGGGTCGTCGGGACTGCTATAGACGCACCCGATACATTCAGTTCTAGACTGAAAATTCCAAAAAGTAAAATAGCATTGTGATCAAAAGTAATCTTACGGGAAGCCAACTTTCCGAAAAGATCAATCCAACCATTTTCATCGAGACTTTTCGGTTAGAGTTTCAGTAAACTGAAGCGCGCCTGAAAAAAACAAGAATATCCTATAAATTCTCGTTTACTTCAACTGTTATCTTATTACCTTGTATTTAGCCAAGAAAGGATGCCTGGTGCCTGTACTCATCATATCCTCATCTCTATCAAGCATGGATCGCACAGGTTTACCAGTCCTAAAAGAGGCGGGTTTTGTCAACTCATCATTTTGTACTGGCGCGTGGTAGAAAGAACGCACAGCCGGCGAGCAAACTGACCATTTGGTAATCGCAAGCGTCGACGATCACGCACGAGAAAGCCTCGAAAACCGCGTGAGCATTCTCCTATTTCAGTTTCCGTATGAGTAGTCATGAGAATTCGAAAAGAGATCACGAAAGATGTTAGACTGACAAAACAGCCGACATTTCGCGACGCCACCACTGGTTTCCCCGCGAAGTGACGTCTGAGAAACGAGCGCAGAAATTCCATACTGATGACCTGTCAATATCCACATCTGGGTCGTACTTCTGATTGGTGGTACCGCGAACGAAATTTACTTCAACCAATCAGAAGCACTGCCCAGATCTGGGCAATGACACGTCATCAGTATGGAATTCCTGCGCTCGTTCCTCAGACGTCATTCCTCAGGCGACAAAGATTTCTTCTTTTCAAAAGATTTCTACTCACCAACACCACTCAAAGAGTACTATATTCTCTCTTGATAACGATAAATAGACCATAATCAATGAACAGTGTCACAGTGGAGAATTTTCTAGTTCATACTACATATTAACATTTGAGGCATAAGTGGACGCACTGGGAAAAGCCGTAGTCTGTTTCCTGACTATCTATTTTCTCTTGAAAGATCATAGCCTCCCACACAGGCGTTTTTAGGGAAGCTCGTCTTTCATCCCTCCCCACGGATGAAAAACGAGCTCCCCTAAAAACGCCTGCGTGGGAGGCTAAAAAGATCATTGATCGCGCGTACAGTAATAGAAACCGCAGGAGATTTATTGACCACTGGCGCAACGGTCGAGGGTATAAAAGTCGCAGACAGACTTACTTGGAAGCCGCCACTGCTACTACACTCGTATGGAAACAATCACGCGTTTCCTTGCCTCCAAACCCTCCACCTAAAGAACACAAGAAGGACACCACGCATGAAAGTCGTAAGCACACACGAAAAACGTGCTCCAGGGGGTTCTTGCTTACGGAAGATTACAATCTACTTTGTCACACAAAAACCATAGATTACAAGATGATGGTAATAATACAATAAGACCCTGGTGAGACCGCAGCTTGAGTACTGTAGCCCGATTTGGGATCCTTACGAGAAGTGTGACATCTTGTCACTTGAGAAGGTACAGCGACAAGCAACTCGCTTTGTTAGTGGAGACTACCGCAGAGAGTCAAGTGTGATGAACATGATTAGTAACATCGGTTGGCAGTCCGTTGAGGAGCGTAGGGCGATAGCCCGCCTGACGCTTTCGTATAAAATTGTCCACGGTCTTGTTGATATCTCCACTTCACCCCTCCTGCCAAGTGGTCGCCAAACACGTCATACTTCTCATCTGTCATATCTTCGACTACAATTTAATACCAACTGCTTCCTTTTTCCCACGTACAATTACTGAATGGAACTCATTACCACTAACTTTGGGGCTGTGCAACCTCAACACAGTCATTTAGAAAAGACCTATCTAATTTAAACATTTCAAGGACTATTAACACTAGCTGTTGTGAACATTTTTATATAATTTATGTTAATTTATTGATGTCTGCGTAATATAGTAGTCACGTGATCTTATTGCACCATCAAGTAACCCGAGACGCGGGAATATTTTTGTCAGTAAGCAATTTCGATTTCGACTATTAAACATGATCAGTTGTGTTTACTAAATGGCGCCCAACGTGGGGCAGATTTTCGATCGCAATGCCTCCCAAAAAGGGTAAACCGAAGTCAAAAACACACGAGATATCAAGTACATCGAGTATGCAAGCGAATACATCGAATTTGGAACGACTGCGAGTTATACGTGAAGGACACCGACGATATGTATCGAAACTGGATCAAGAATTCACCGAAATGTTGCAAAGCGAAGACAAGGATTACGAACGGCTCAATGTTATGAGACAACTCTTGGATGGAAAACAAGAGTCGCTTAGCGAAATGGACCAAGAGATATTATCTTTATGCGAAGTTACAACGATTGATAAAGAAATCGAAGAGTCAGAAGAATTTACTGCCTCAATTATACGTCTAAAATGCAAAATCGAGAATGCGAGCAAGGTGAACATGCCAACCCAGCAACACGTGGGATCTCCTCAAACGACATCACAGCCAGTGAATCAAAATGCAGTCCGTGCAAGATTACCGAAGTTGTACCTGCCGAAGTTTAGAGGAGATGTGACCAAGTGGAATACCTTCTGGGATTCATTTCAATCGGCGGTTCATCGTAACGAAGGGATTTCCAACATCGACAAGTTCAACTACCTCAATTCTGTCCTTGAAGGGCCGCCGCTCGAGCTATTCAGGGTCTTACCTTAACCGAAGCGAACTACAACGCAGCAGTCAAATTATTACAAGAACGTTTCGGGCGTCCCCAACAAATTATCAGCGCACATATGGATCAGCTTCTCAAGGTTTCGCCGTGTTCTAATGATCGCCCAGCCAGTCTTCGATACGTCTACGATCAAATTTGTGTTCATTCCCGCGGTTTGGCATCGCTCGGCGTAACTTCAGATCAATATGGAAGTCTCCTAATTCCTGTTATTATGTCAAAGTTGCCATCTGAGATTCGATTGCAGATAGCCAGGAACTCTAAGGATTCTGTATGGAAAATGGAGGAGTTGCTAAACGTGATAAAGGTTGAAGTCGAAGCGCGGGAAGCAAGCGAGATGACCATGGCGAAAACAAGCGAAGGCGGGAAAGTTCAACCACCCGGCCGTGATTCAAAGTTTCGAAATCAAACGCCAACCGCGAATTCACTCGTCTCTCAGCAAGGTGGGAACTTCAAAATCAAATGCGCCTATCGTCAAAACGAGCATTACTCTGCATCATGTGGTGTGGTAAAAGATACCGCTCAACGAAGAAGTATTTTGGAAAGGGATAAACGATGCTTCAATTGTTTGCGTTTTGATCACTGTGCGAAAGACTGCACGAATCCCAAAAAATGCCGACACTGCCAGCAGCGGCATCATCAGTCGATTTGTTCAATGCTTGACCAAGGGAAACCGAAACCAAAAGAAGTTTCAGCCGAAGAGACAACGACAACAACAACAGTGAGCAACAAGGCAAAGGGAACTGTGCTCTTACAAACAGCGAAAGCCATGGCTGTCAATGTTGTCAGTTCTAAAGCCGCACCAGTTAGAATACTTTTGGATACCGGAAGTCAACGCACCTACATCACAACCAGATTAAAATCGAGGCTTAATCTGTCCCCTGTCAAGTCAGAAACATTGCATCTTAACACCTTTGGAGACGAAAGATATACGAAGCAACAATGTGATGTTGTGAACTTGCGGTTGCAAGGATCTCAAGGAGAAATCAAGATATCTGCACTATGTTTCCCGAAGATTTGCTCGGCGGTGTCAGCTAAAGTTAACATCGACAATCACGTACATCTTCAAGGTCTCGAGCTTGCTGACATGAGCATTGCTGAAACAGGTCAACAGGACATAGATGTGCTAATTGGATCTGATTATTATTTCGATATTGTGTCTGGGGATGTCATTCGTGGCTGCAGTGGTCCCGTAGCAGTTAGCAGCATGTTCGGATGGGTCTTGTCTGGTCCCACAAGTGCTGAAGAATCAAGAGAGAAGTTTGCAACTACAAATCTCATCATAGAGAGGCCGGAATTGATGACCTTGAGCCCATTTGACATCAGTCATAGTGAGAACGATGAGTTATGTAATGCCTTGCAGAAATTCTGGGACATTGAGTCATTAGGAGTACGAGAGAAGCCACCCGTGTCACAGTCAGATGGTGGAGAGTTCCTGGAGAGTATTCATTTCAATGAGAATGAAGGAAGATACGAAGTTGGTCTGCCTTGGAAGGAAGGCCTTGTTCCTGCTTCAAACGAGTACAAATTGTGTGTTACAAGATTGAGACAGCTTCACTCGCGACTGAAGAAGAACAAGGAACTATTGAGAGATTATGACAATGTGATCAAGGATCAAGTCAAATCCGGGATAATCGAAGCCGTACCAGAACACAACTACGACCAAGCTCCAATGCATTTCTTACCTCATCATGGCGTAATTCGGTCGAACCGGGAAACTACAAAATTGAGAGTTGTATTTGATGGTTCAGCCAAATCTTACAAGTCAACTGCTTCAATTAACGAGTGTTTAGAGAAAGGACCGAACTTAGTGCCACACCTATTTGATATTGTGGTTAAGTTTCGAGGGTATCCAATTGCTGTAGTAGCTGACATCGAAAAGGCCTTCCATCAGATACAGATCAACCCAGAAGACAGAAGTACGCTGAGGTTTCTATGGTTCGATGACATTGAGAAAGATCGTCCGCAAATCAAGCAATACCAGTTTCGAAGGCTTGTGTTTGGCTTAACTCCAAGTCCAGCTATCCTGGCAAGTACCATAAAACTCCATCTGTCCAAGTACAAAGAAAAGGAACCAGAAGTAACATCTTTGTTAAGTTCCAGCTTCTATGTTGATGATCTGGCAGGAGGAGTGTTTCGCGAGAATGAAACTGTGAACTTGTACGACAAAGCACAGGAAATCATGAAAGATGGAGGATTCTCACTGCGTAAGTGGAATTCTAACTGTCAGTCCTTCCGCGAAAAAATCAAGCAGGATGAAGAAAGAAGAGGACCGTCAGTTTGGGAATCCCCTCCCAAAGAAAGTGAAAGTACACAAAATCTCAAGAAAGAAGAGTCATCGAGTGCCAAAGATGATAAACTGGAAACAGAGCAATTGGTGAAGATTCTCGGGATTTACTGGGATGTCATTCGAGATGAATTTCGCTATGACCTATCTGAGTTGATTGAGTACGCAGAAGCCCTTCCAGGTACCAAACGATGTGTTTTGAAACTGTCAGCCAAAATCTTTGATCCGATTGGACTGTTAACTCCATTTACAATAAGCATGAAAGTCTTTTTTCAAGATTTATGTGTTGAGAGGGTCAATTGGGATAAAAACTTGGAAGGAGAAGCTTTAGCGAAGTGGAAAACGTTCATTAATGACCTAAATGCTCTGAAGAATATTCGAGTTCCCCGATGTTATGCCAATTACTCACCAGCGCAGTCAGCAGTATGCTCCTATCAGATCCATGGATTTTCAGATGCGTCGAAAAGAGCCTATGCAGCTGTTGTGTACCTGAGAACCGCATTCAGCAATGGTGAAATCCAAGTCAACATCATGACATCCAAGACGAGAGTAGCGCCGAGTAAACGTCAGTCAATTCCCGGGTTGGAACTGCTAGGAGCTGCATTGCTAGCCCAACTAGTGCACTCAACGCAGCAAACGTTACAATCCGTTCTTCCAATTGAAGGAACATTTTTGTGGACCGATTCATTCACCACGCTGTGTTGGATAAAAAATGCCAAAGCATGGAAACCTTACATACAACACCGGGTCAGCAGGATACGAGAACTAACTAACGAAGCCAACTGGAATTTCTGTCCCGGGGAGTTGAACCCCGCTGATCTACCATCACGAGGATGTGGAGGAGAGCAATTAGCACAAAACCAGACATGGTGGAATGGGCCCAAGTTTCTGAAGTTAGTGAGAGAACATTGGCCTGAGTCGCCCCAAACAAGTGCTTTGTCTGATGACGAAGAAGCCCTTCAAGAAGTTCTAAAAAGCCCTGTGAGTGTCACGCACTCTCTGGTCACGACAGAGTCAGAAGACCATTCAATCAATCTCAGTCAAGTCATTGACATTGAACGATACTGCAGTGTAACACGATTATTCCGCGTGACAGCCTACCTATTACGGTTCATAGGTAATGCGAAGAACGGTGTATCAAACCGTGAAACTCACAAGCTACCAGAACATTCGTCAAAAAGGGAACTTAATGCTCAAGAGTTAAATCAAGCTGAAATGCTGTGGATCAAGACTGTACAGAAAGCCTCATTTGCCAAAGAACTCGAATTTCTTCAAAGCAAAAGGGGAACATTTCCACTCGTCTATGTCACGCAATTCAACTTGTTCCTTGACAACCAACAAATCATCAGATGCAAGGGGAGAGTAAACAATGCACCGCTCTCTGAAGAAAGCAAGAATCCAATCTTACTTCCGTCTAAACACCCACTAACTAGTCTCATCATCCAGGATGTGCACTCCAAGATTAAACACAGTGGTATCAAGGACACCTTAACCACTATTCGAGGACGATTCTGGGAACGGATGGTTAAAGTTGTGAAGCAACCATTGAAGAAAACAGTGGGACGCTCTACGTTAAACTATGATGAGCTACAAACCACAATGGTGGAGATCGAAGCAATCGTAAATGCACGACCGTTAACATATGTCTATGATGATGAAGAGTCAGTTTCCACTCCACTTACGCCATCTCATCTAATTACTGGTAGACGAATTACTAGTGCACCAAGTAACCAGCATTTCGAAGTTGTTAGTGTTAATCAGACCTTGACAAAGAGAGCTAAGCATCACCAACGATTACTGCATCAGTTCACCAAGAGATGGCAGCACGAGTATCTTTTGAGTCTACGAGAGCGCTCTAATGAGAGATGTAAGAAGCAAAACAAGGACAGCCCAATCTCAGTAGGTGACATTGTGATCGTGAAGTCTGATCTGACGAAAAGAACATTTTGGAAACTGGCAAAGGTTCAAGAACTGTTACCGGGTAGAGATGGTCAGATTCGATCAGCAAAGGTCAAGGTTGCTGGCAAAGGGGATCGAAAGCCACAAGTATTACGTAGAGTGAT